CGTCCGGCCGTCACATATCCTCTCGAGCGGGCCCTCAATCTACGCCTAGGTTTAGGGTTTAGGGTTTGGGGTTTCGGATCCCACCCGAAAAATGATCATGATGATGGTGATGGTGAACATGATGAAGATGATGATGATGCTCATGATGATGATGGTGCTGATGAAGACTATGACTACAAATATATATACATATATATATATATTTATTTATTTATTTATTTCTCAGCGAAGCAGCTTTCCCTGTTTCTTTTAACCCAGACAAGCTGGAAGGTCTCAAGTTGGCAGCACAATAGGTGCTCCCAGAAGACGGCCGAGCAGGCCAAATACCACTGTACAGCCCTCAACCACACCCGTAGGTTGCGCTCCCGTAGGAGGTCAATCACCCGTAGGTGGTCGCACCCGTAGGTGACACTCCCGTAGGAGGTCATGAAGGCCTTCACCCTGGCACTTTCAGCCAAGGGTGGCGGAAGGGGACGAGGAGGTGAACCAAAACTCCTTTTTAGGGAAAAGACGCTGAGAAAGACGCGTGCACTCCCTTGCAAGCAGAGTCGCTCACTAAGGGTATTCTCAGCGAAGCAGCTTTCCCTGTTTCTTTTAACCCAGAGAAGCTGGAAGGTATCAAGTTGGCAGCACAATAGGTGCTCCCAGAAGAGGGCCGAGCAGGTCAAATACCACTCAATCACCCGTAGGTGGTCGCACCCGTAGGTGACACTCCCGTAGGAGGTCATGAAGGCCTTCACCCTGGCACTTTCAGCCAAGGTAACAATTACAAGAAAAGAATAACAGCTGCCAACTTACCAGTCGCCAACTGTCCCAAGACTGCTAGCCTTATGACAACGGATTTAGGTAGAACCTTGGGGCTAGGAGGTGCGTATTTTCCTAATGTGTGTTTTTCGCCTGTCTGCATATTTGTGACAATATTTTTTACAGTGCCAATATTTTCCCAATATTGGCCTGCATATTTTACCAATCTTTGTGGGCTGCCCCAATATTTTCCCGATGTTTTCCCAATAGTTTACCAATATTTCCTGATATTGCTGCCCAAAAGATTGGGAAAATGTGCAGTCTGCATATTTTCCCAATACTTCTCGGCTCGGTCACCACCTGTCTGCATATTTTCCCAATCTCTGGGCCGGCGTATTGGGAAATTATTGGCCCTTGAAAGGCACCCCAAAAAATATTGAGAGAATATGCAGAACCAATATTGGAAACATATTGGTAAAATACGCACACGACCTCTGGAATCGGCCACCCTCTTTCTGCCTAATCCGTGGTCTTAATGCTAGCCCCCTGGCAAAGCCACTCGCCAAAACGAAGCGAGCGAAGTTTGGAGGGCGGTGACGTGGGCGGGCAAAAGCAGCTGAATCATCCACATACACCCTAGCAGTAGTCTGGTCTCGCCAGTGTCCTTGTACGACGGTGCGTCCCAAACCATGGCGTTGGTAAAAGTAGGTAGCTGGTAGCTCCACGCCTGCGAAGGCAGTAGGGAAGGTAGTGTTGGGCCCGAAGTCCCACGCATCTGATTCAGGACGCAAATTCTCTTCGGAAGACAACAGGCGAAGGCTCATAGATCTTTTCACTCAGGCTTGCCCGGTCGCTGGGGCATACCCGGTCCCAAAGGAACTGGAGAACGTGAACCAGGAAGGGTTCATGCAAAGAAAGGGATTGTTGCAGACCCTTCGAGGTTCGAACTAATGATAGCAATGACCACGGTTCCTTGGCCAGGAAAAAGACGGATGTGGGAGTAGCGGAGCGTGAGGAGCTCCATTGTCCTCAGAAAGAAAGAGAAACCGAGGAGCACGAGGTCACGAGGAGTGCCAAGTCAAACCGGTTGACCCGCGCCGCTGCTGCCGCCAAAGCCTTGGCCCCCAACCAGGACAGCGGCGTAGTACGGACCGGCAGGTGTACTCGTTGCCAGTTCCTCAGGTAGAGTTGGTAAGTCTGGAGATGAGGACGGCACCTTGGGTAGAAACGCTTGAGTCCACTGAGAACCCATCCAGCAAAAGAAACACTGTCACCTTCTTGAAATAAATGGTTGATGTACTCAGCCAGGTCGTCATCCAGCTGAAGCATAGTATGCGGAAGTCTGCCCCGTAAGGCGCGCACATATTCAAAGAAAGCCGCCACAGCTTTTTTCGTAAGATCGGCGCGTCCGGTCAGTGATCCCCAGAAAGCGCAGGCGGTCACGCCGGTTCAAATTTCCTTGGCGCGCCATAGGCGTAGTACCATTCACTGATCGCCCTGAGCGGCATGGAGATAATGCCAGAGACCAACCTTACTGCTGTGTTGCGGCGGCAGACTCTGTTGAGTCTCTTTGACGACGAGCAGCCTTATCCAGGGCAAAGAAGGTGACCTGTGTGACGAAAACGAGGAAAAAGCGTCGGCCGCGTTCGTTTGGGTCACGGGCTCGACGACAAAGTTCTGCAGGATAAGTAACGATCTTGCATGACCAAAAGTTAAACCAAAGCTAGCAAAATGCCGGATAGGGACCAGGCCGATGGCCAACCTCCATCATTCTGCGGTTGGAGAAACGCCAGCCACCCCTGACAAGATACGAGTGGTGCAAAAGCCACCCAAGAAGTTGGGCCTCTTTCATGGCGCAGATCGGTTGCGCGAATTCTGTGGGTAGGGATACAGTCCCAGCGACATCCGTACCCACTAGGAACCCACGAGCCGCTTCCCTGAGCTGGCAATGAAACATCCCGTCCATGGAAATAGCCTTGCACCAAATTGGCCAGGCCAAGGACATGTCAGGGACATCTTTCATGAAGGCCCAACAGAATGACCAGGAATACTCATCCCGATTTACAATGGCAAAGGCCGGGATTCGCTTTGGCACTTGCGGGTGGACTTCACCTTCTGGCTTGTGGACGACCGCGAGCCGGGAACTTGAGTTATGGTCCAAGGTCAGCCAACTTTCTCCGTCTCCGCCATGGCAGCAATAGGACAGCGCGGACCACTGCCAGGCTCCTCCATAGAGTGAACTCGCTCCCTGTGGTTCCCATAAGAAAAAGTGACATGGGTCCTTCAGAAGGGCGAGGCTTCGTTCCGGATGGCTGTTCAATTGGTCGGTGTTGGTTCTCCTCGACATCGTGGTGGTTCGCCAGAGGGCAATGGCTTCGTGCTTTGGGTTGTTAGTGTAGCCCGCGGGGAAGCAGAAGTCCCCGGGTTGATGCTGCCAGTTGTTCCAACAATTTCGTACGTCCCAGGAGCCATGGTTGCAGACCATCGAGAATCGAGAAAGTCCCTCCCTCACGGGAAACGCAATTCTCCTCGAAATTGTCTAAATGCCGCTTGGCTTGGTTTCCTTCATCCAAGAAGGGCAAACCTTTGTTACCATCCCCGTGAGGAAAAACCTTAGCGATCTCGCCCGAGATGCGTCCGAATGACGCAATAGACCTTCCCGAGTCCTCCACCAACTCAATGTCCGCTCCGGGACCATTGGTGGTCAGGTGGCCCTTCTATCGAAGGGGATATTCCCCTCATCCACAGCGTCGGACAAAACTCGCCTGGTCTGTCGCCCTGTCGGTCAAGCCCCCGTGTCCAATAAAGAGTTCTGTATGGGGCAGAGGGTTTTGCCTCAAATGATCAAAGGCAATCTCCAAGTCCAGGGCGTGGCAGTCTCTGAGGTCGAAGTCATCCTCCGTGTCGGGCTCAAGCCCAACCAAAAAAATCCTTGTCAGCATCAAAGGCCGGCATGCGGACGGCCGACCGCCCTGAAAGATTGCAGCTTTTCTCGGACAGATTAGCTGTAGCCTTCGACGAGATACCTGTTCGCACTTCCAGTCCAAACAGCCGGCCGTCCTGTGTTCCAGACCTTGGCACCGCTCTGAGCCGGATGCCCGCGAGGGTCTGGCTCACGCGAATATCCAATAGCCTCCTCCATTCAAAGACGAACAGGAAGTTGAAGGGACGCGGGACAGCGAGGACCCCCTCATCATTCCCGTCCGAGATGCTTTCCTGCTTCGGGTGCACCAGCGCTGGGTGGAGGGCTCGGCGCTCGGAGGCAGCTTGTCTGGGTTGTAGTTCTTCCTCCCGAATGTGCCGAGGGCCGACCTTAGGCTAATCATCGCATCCCGGAGGTAATTTCCCAGCGACCCTTCCTTGTATCTCCACGATAGCCGCTTTCGGATACACTTTTTCCAGCTCTTCACGGAGAACCCGGCAAAAAGTCGGTCCAATAGCCACTCGCAACCTTCCCCATAGAGAGCCCTTCGTCTTCACTCCCTCCACGATGTACCATCTCAAAATTACGGTATCCCTTGAGGAACACATAGGATACATCGCCCCCGTGGGGGGAGATACATCGCCCCCGTGGGGGGAGCCTGGCTCATGGGCCGGTCTCGACCCTTCATCATCACTTTCTTCCTGCTACACCATTCCTATATTCAGACAGTAACGCGCCCCGTGGGGGGAGCCTGGCTGGGAGTATATCACCCCCGTGGGGGAAGCCTGGCCCGTGGGCCGAACATGATTTTGGAACCTCCTCATCAGACGGCGGTCATGGCCGGGCGCCTCGATTTTAACCTCAAGCTGGAGAATCACTCGGCCGGGGCAGCCTCTTTCCCCTTCCCCAGCTTCCCCTTCTTGGGGTCCCTTCCTCCCTTTGTGTCCTGTCTCGGGTCGCCCTTGTAGCTGTCCTTGCCGCCCTTGGTGTCGATCTTGCCGAGGCCTTTCTCTGTCTGGAGCTTCTTCATCCACAGTTCGCCGGCCCACTCCTTTGACGCGAGAACAGCCTCGTCCCTTTCCAGGAGGTTCGGCCCCTCGGGCACGAGGCGTCCGTGGTGCTCAGCTCCAGGGCCTTTAACCTCTGGGCTAGGGTGTCCGCTGCCATGTGAGGATGCCCCGCAGCGATCTGCTCAAAAGCGCCAGTGTCTTCATCTCCCTGAGCGTCCTGACCTGGAGCTGCTTCGGCCCTAGCATGGTCAGGACCCAATTCATCGCCACTGGTGGGGTCCGGTTGCCTGGTCCTTTGCTCTGAATCGGCCCCCCCTCCTTTCCGACCATGGCTTGCATTCTCTGAAGCAGCCGTGCCGCCAGTCTGCCTGGACACTTCCGGGCATACTCCTGAAGCTGCAGTTGCAGACTGGTTCCATTCCCAGAGGAAGGGCCGTCCCGAAAAAGCGACTCGTTGTCAGAGGAACCGCTGGGCACTTCCAGCACCATACCGTAGTCAACCTTTGTTCCAGACCCAAAAGGTCCCCTGTCTTTTGCGACCTTGCGCTTCTCCTTCCTCTTTTTCTCCTTCTTCTTCTTAGACTTATTCTCACTCGAGGAGGGACTCGACGAAGACACCCCCGACGAGTCAGAAAGGGACCGATCCTTGGGATCATGGCCCACTTCCTGTCCGAAGCATTGTCCTCCGCCGGAGTCGGGACCTGACCTTGCACGGCCATGGCCGGTGTCAGCGCGCGCTTTCTTTCTTTTCTTCTTCTTTTTGTTCGGGTCAATCAAGTCCTCCCCGTTAGGTGGGACAACTCCTCCACCATGGTGGTCAATTGCTTCCCGTTTCTTGCGCGTCTTCCTCGGCGTACCGAGCTCCCTCTCCAGCTCGGACAGGTTCTTCAAGGCCGGATCCTCGGCGCCTGCCACCGAGAGAACCGCCTCTTCAAACCCTAGGCCTTGGCCCGTGTCGGGGTGTGTCTCGTCCTGGCCCTTAGGCCGCTGTCCACTCATCCTTGCAACCTCCTCATCCACATACTTTTTGCACGGGCTCTTCTTGACCCAATCTATTCGATGGTCGGCGAGGTGACCAAGGGGAACGTTCCTGAACTTGTCTGTATGGAAATCCAGGGCTCGGCTCCGGCGACTCTTCCGACATGATCTTTCTCCACTCTTGCAGAAGTGGACCTCAAACTCCCAGTTCTCATCCTTGCCGGACCCCGAATTAAGCCACCATAGAAGGTGATCGTCTGACACCGCCAGGAAAGTCATCTCGGCCCATTGGCCTTCTGAGGTCCTCGGTTCGATCTTATCCACCCTTCCCAGCACCGTTCCTTGCTTGGTGTGGGAAACGTCCTTCGCGTGGAATTCGAGGTAGTCGCCTACCTCAATAGCGGATGATTTCCACGCCTCCGGGTCCGTGGCCGCTGAAATCCACGGCCCAGGCATGGCTCAAGCTGGAAGGCTTGAGCCAAAACTCCTCTTTAGGGAAAAGACGCTGAGAAAGACGCGTGTCACTCCCGTGCAAGCAGAGTCGCTCACTAAGGGTAATATAGGTGTATACACATATGGTATGGTCATTTGCCGCCCACACTTGCTGGCTTCGCATATTTTCTCATAGAAGAGTTGCGCTTTGGCGAAAAGCCACAGGACATGCGAAACTCTTGCGCAAGTTGGGACAACTGGCAAGGGCGGCCTGAGCAAAAGCGGCATTGAAGCTCTGGCCTCAAGCCTCAACACAATCCTGGACCCTGAGTCAAACCTAAGTCAAGTCAATACTTTAAACTCCGCCACACATCCTTCAAAAACTCTCCCTAACATAAAGCTTTGTTCTGCAGCCTCTTCAACAATGAGCTTAAAACCCGAGCGAAAACGCAGCAAGGCCCAAAGTTTACTTCAGCCTCTATTGCTTCGCGCACCTGCCTGAACAATAATTTTATTTGAGATTGCGCTCTCGCTGTGGTTTCGCGCGTATCCATGCAAAACGCCTCATTCTGAAATCTATAAAAACGCAGAGGCGCGTACAGGCGCCGTCACCCACAACACAAAAGCATGAAGCGTGCTCTTCGAGACCCCACTCTGAAAACCTGCAGCCTGCAGACACCCTGCCCCCAAGACCGGAATCGGGCCTTCAGGCGGTCCCAATAGATTTGAACTTCGAGCCACCTCGAGACCATTTACGGAAGATTGGGCTTCGAGTTTTTGCGGTTTCAGACCTAAGATTCGGGGTGTGGGACTCCGTCCCTCAACCCAGTCGTTCTGATTCGTAGAAGGAAAGGCTTTTCCATGATTCGTCGAGGCAGGCAACTTTCTCGCTACGAAACTCCACAGAGACCGGAGGCCGTTTGGGTTTAAGGTGAGTGAGTGTATGGGGTATGGGATTTAGAGTTTAGGGGGCATAGCGTTAATAGGGGTCCTTTGAGTTTAGGGTAGTTTGGCATGGGACACCTGTGCGGTTCGGCCTATCGCTTCGCCGTAACCCTTCCAAGTGCGTCCCAAGAGCTGCTGCGAGAGGTCAGGCCTGCAAGCGTTCGACTTGAGGGCGCTTCTAGCAGTGCCATGTTCGGAATCTTCATCTTTTTAGCAGCATGCGCGTTGGCAGGTCTTTGGGCAACTGCAACATTCCTTAGCCTAGTAATGAAACATTTCTTTGCCGTCTTTGGCGCTACTGCCGCTACTTCTGTCTAGCCGCGAGCAGCAAACAGCCAGCACTTTGTGCAAAATGTGCTGCCGTTCATCCTGCATGACCCTTCTTACCCCCAGCATCCACATTGCAAATCAAAGTGACCTGAGCATTGCTCTTGCTACCCCCAGCTTTACTCTCATAAGCGTTGCTGCCATCCTCACGTCTACTCTTTGGACTGCATTCCTCTTCGTCTGAAGATGTGAACGATTGCAACTTTCCATTAGCAATTAGCACTCATGTTGCTTTGACGACGACGACGACGACGGCGACGACGACGACGACGGCGGCTCCGACTGCTACACGCCGCTATCAAGCATCATTGCTACTCTCTTTCGGCCGCCCCCTACCTACCCTCGATGCCTCTGCGGTGAGATGGCAGGAAGTCCATTGCCACCATTTTTCAGGTTGTCCTGCATGCACTGCGGGAAGAATGCAAAAATCATCGGCTCTTTGGGGATCACAACCTAGGGAAAAAAAAGTGGCACGCACACGTCTCAACCCTGGACTTGTATGCAAAAAGCAGATGCGTGTTGGAATCTCTGAACTACATGTCCGACCTGTCACAGCGCTAATCGCGCCTGTAGGGAATCCTGAACTTCAGCGCAGCCATCCCGAAGTCAAAGCCGAACTGAGTTGCCTGCCTGCACCGCTTGCCACTGGCTCATCGTGTCGAAGACTGCGGCGTTGGAACCAGTGATGCCATAAATGAACTGGATCGACTCTCTCGCGCCCTGGTTTAGGGTTTGGGGGGCTTCTTGTGGAACTGTGTGTCGAAGCTTCAGCGGTTGGGAACTTCGGGGCGAGGTGTTCGGAGTAGGGTGTAGTCTTTCTAAGTGGCCGGCCGAAGCTACGAATTTGAGTTTCGAGTGGCTTGTTTTCGGCTGTGGGGTCCGAGCCGCAGGATGTTTCACGAGGTTCAACTTGCATGCACTTGTGCTGGCAGCAATTGTTCGTTGATGCTTCCGGAAATAAGGGTCCAGGATCGGGTCTTGGCAAGCCCTACACCCCAATCTGTACCAATCGTCACTGAACAGTTCGTTGTGCAGTCCTTGTGTAACGGGATGGTCACATCTTCAGATTCTCTGCTTGTCTGCTTTCGGATTGCAACTTTTGGGGGCAAAGGCCTCTGCATTGGGGTTGCCTTGGGGATACCGACATTTTGGGACGCCGCATCCTTGAATGCTACAGGAGGTGTTTCTTGGCTCGTCTGGGGTTGGGAATTTAGGGTTTCGAATGCTGGGTCGGAACGGCTTGATGGTGTTTCAGACTTAAGCTTCGAGGGAACAACCTCAGCCAGCTACCACGGTCAGCGGCGCGGACTCATGGATTCTTTGAGAGTGTGCTTCTGAAGATTACTTCGTACTCCCCGGCCCACGGGGACCGGCCAGCTCGCTTCAGCTTCGCCAGAAGTTTCGGAACACCTCCATAGATATGAGTAGCCAGGACTGCTCCTTGAAGAGATAACCGAAGGAGGAGGGTGTTCAAAGGCCTTGCCTCAGGCCAGAGTGAATCCCAACCGGCGATAACGATGAAACCCTCGAAATCCAAGTTTGAATCCAGAGAACCCAAATACTGCGGAGCTTCGATTCGCTTTCAAGATTTACCCCTTTTGCCAATGCGGCCTTCTGGGCCAACAAGATCTGCCGGCTGGCAGCGTCCACTCTCGCCGCCGGCAGCGATGGAAAAGCAGCGGTGGCCTCTTGGCAGTGTCGGCTTAGGGCAAAAGGCGGAGGTGGACTTGTCAGTTATTTGGGTTTGGCTCTGAGGGGTTGGAGTCTGGGATCCGGGCTGGTTGCGGAGTTGCATCTCGGGTCTTTGGAGGCTTTTGGTTTGGCAATTCGACTACAGGCCGGAGGTCTGGAGAGTCTACACCCAAGGCTGCAGGACTCTGAACAAGATCTTGCAATTGACGGAATCTCTCTGCGACATGAGGTCACCGACGCACACCAACGAGTAGCTACAAGCTCCCGACGTGTATCTCTCCTTGAACGATAATCTGCCCAGCTCTTTCAGCTCAAACCGTAGAGTCCAACAGCGTGGCATCAGAAGATGGAGGCACACAGTAGCATCAACCTTTTTCGCGATGCGTGATGGACCCACTAGTTAAACTCTTCCGCACTTGTAGCCCGTTTAAGGTTTAGCTGACCAGCTAGGCTCAAGGAGAACTCAGAACGGCCTGCTTCGGGCTCCAGTCCAACAAGCCCTAAGGCCACACCCAAAGTGCGCAGTCCCACAGGAATGTGAAGATGGTAGTGTTCTTGCAGTACTAGACAGTGCTGATGGTCACCTTGCGCAGCCCAGCGAACTACTGGTTCTGAAGTGGTGAATTATACACCGTACTCCCAAAACACTGCCAGTTCACACCCATCCTCGACGGTCCATAATACTGTCCTCCCACCCAGCCCAAAACTTGTCTCCCCATAGCCTCATCAATGTAGAGGTTCTGAAGCTGGTTCAGGGCCTGCAAGACACTGAGACTCAGGACTTGGGGGGTTGGGTTTTAGAGCTCAGGGTTTGGTTTTCGCATCGGGGTCGTCACCTAGCAGGGGCATGACTTTCGCAACATTTCATGCTTGATTGTGTTTGTAGCTGACGTTGTCGACATGGCCACCCTGCGCACGATTTTTGGACGAAGGATACTCTGGTCTTAAAGCCGATTAAGCCATGGACGGTATGATTGTTGGACTCAAGGCCTCAACACGGATCGCATAGACCATGGACGTGATAATGGTTGGGCCAAGGATGCGCTGGCCACCAAACAAATAGGGCCATGGATGCTCTGGCCTCAAAACGTGATAGGGCTAGAGCTTGGACATTACTTGTATCATGGTCGGGCTATGGATGCTCTGGCAAATGGATGCACCTGAACGTGGATGTTAACACGAATGGGGCATGGATGTTATGGCGGTTGTTGGGGCAGCTCATGGTTCTATCAGTAGCCACCTTTGCATGGGTTTCAGTAACTTCAGCATCTAGGGACAAGGTTTTGGTCATTCGGTAAGTCGTTCACCGACCCGAACAAGCCCCATTGCTCCACCCAACGTCAAGATGCAGCACCTCGATCATGGTCAGACTCGCTGCGGCGACAGCATTGCCGTTGCTCCCCTGGCGCATGCGGTCCACGGTTTCAGACAGCACACCCCAAGCCCTGAAATCCCCGTATGCAAGTACCACGGCAAAAGATTTAGCATTTCGTCGATGAAAATACCAAGGACTTCGACATTGATCGGTATAGATTGTGTTCGAAGCTGTGTCGGCCTCTCCCGACAAGCCGACAAATGCCCCAGCCCTGCACTCGGAGCTTCTTCTCCATTCTCTCTGACCACAACCCCCAAACACCGAACGATCAGGAATGGCAACCCCGAAGAATCTTGGGCTGAAGCTCCAGAGCTCATGTGTTCAAACCGAGACAGCGCCAGAACGCTTCGCCAAGAGCCTGACATGCCCTCTGCCAACAGCCCTGGTTGACCCAAATCAGTTTATGGGACCCAGGCCTAAGCCAGAGAACCGAGAACCGCGAGAGACCTGAAACCCCTGACCAATCCTCCAGGGACTCGGCGAACGCGCTTACAGGTGGCTCTACCCTGGCAAGGACCTTAGGCAGGCGTGGCGGTTGGACCGCAACAGGGCAAGTTTGATGGATTGAGGCTTTACGGGGTAAAGATCAAGCTGTGCCTTGTGGATTCCTGGTTGGATTGCTGAAGGCACTGGCGCTGCAGAACACAAGGCAACTACGTGTAGGGCAGCTTGCGCACAAGTCAACATGTTTAGGACGGAGCTCTATTGTTCAATGGTGTAGGCGTTGGATGATTATCGGAACTCGTGCGCCTCTTGCTAATCGACTTTGCTCCGGGTATGATCAGTATTGGCTTACTAGCATTGATCTTGCTGCCAGTATACCCAGTTCGACGAGCTACAGTCATGCGTGCCTGCGACGACGACGACGACGACGAGGACGAGGAGCAGCGAGTGTTCAGCAAGGGTGCTGCTCGTGCTGCTGTTCATAAAACTTTTGCCGACACGTGCTTGTTGTTGCCGAACCAAACGTCTGCTCGAGTTCTGAGAATATCACCACATGTGTGATATAGCGACAACTTGCTACGCTTTCTGTGACTCACGGTGCGTCTGCAACAACATGTGACTGTTGCTTACAACTGTTGAAGTCTTGTTTCTACCAATGCTACTGCTCGCTCCCGTGAAGCTGCTGGTTCAGAGCGCAATTGTCTCCTCATGACATCATTTCGTTTGAATTTACTATATTACATATGATATCATATATTCGCTTATTCACTTGCTTGGCTGGCCCTCCAATGGCTGATCGATCATCGTGCTGGTCTGTTCCTCCGTTCGCTTGACTGCTGATTTGTTCATTTCCTGCCATGGGTTCGGAACTTGTGAGCTAAATTGCGACGCATGTGCATCGTTGCTTCCTTGTCCAGCTGCACAGTTTCCAGCTACAGATATGGCACGTTGCGGTACAATTATGCTCATGGAACAAGATGATACCCGGAGATGCGCATGTGTGTATATGTAGTATATGCATAAATGTATTCATGAACGACAACCCTAACCCATAAGACTTAAAAGCCAAAACCGCGCAGCAATGACAGGCAGACAAAGACTCCGGCCAGTCGGTAAAACTCAGTTCAAGATGGTGCATGTTCAACATGTTCCCCCTTCGTGGCTGGAAGTTGAAGTTGCATCTCATGGCAAATGGCAAAACCTACCATGAAATCCACCCTCGATTCAACAACCCGAACTCCTGACGATTCCTGAACCCTGGCGATGCGTCGGGCCTCATCTAGAATCCTTTGTGACGTTGGCGGCCGCAGCGT